GACCAGCGCCAACTTGGCCCTGAAAGGGAACAGGCAGTGTGTTCAATACCAGTCCCAATTACCCGGCATCAAATCCAGGAGTTTTTGAGGGCTGCGAGGTTCTGTAGAATTGGACCACCTACCTTCTCCATCATGGCAAAACTCCTCTATGAAACCACAAAGGGTGGTGAATGGGAGCCTCTGCTATGGGAAAAGGCTCAGCAACAGACCTCTAAACAAATTAAACAAGCCCTCACCAATGCACCTGGTCTGGGACTCCCAGATGTGACTAAGCCTTTCTTTTTATATATGCATGAACATGTTGGCACTGCAGTAGGGGTCTTGACTCAAATGCTAGGGTCATGGCATAGACCAGTGGCATATTTATCCAAACAGCTAGATTCTGTGACTCAGGGCTGACTGCTTTGTTTACAAGCCCTGGCAGCCAGGGCAGTCCTGATAACAGAAGCTGACAAACTGACTATGGGACAAAACCTAACTGTCAGGATGCCTCATGCTGTGATAAATTTAATGGAATACAAGGGGCAATATTGACTAACCAATGCTCGAATGGTCAAATATCAGGGAATGCTCTGTGAAAACCCACGCATTTGCCTAGAGGTGGTAAAGACCCTAAACCCGGCAACCTTACTACCTACAGAGCCAGGACAGCCAGACCATGATTGCATTGAAATAATAAATTAAGTGTTCTCTAGCCATTCAGATTTAACAGATCAGCCCCTCAGGGACTCTGAAGTCAAATACTTCATGGAGGAGGGCAGTTTCATACAGGAGGGAGAGCGCTTTGCAGGCTATTCAGTGGTAACTTTAAACTCCATGGTCAAGGCGAAACCTCTGCTGATAGGAACTTCAGCACAGAAAGCAGAACTCATTGCGCTTACTCGAGCCCTCCAGTTAGCTACAGGGCTATGTGTTAATATCTATACAGACTCCAAGTATGCTTTTATTACCTTGTATATGCATGGGGCCTTATACAAGGAGAGAAGTTTAATCAGTTCAGGGGGAAAAGACATAAAATATGGCAATGAAATTCTAGAGCTACTAGACATTGTGTGGGCACCAAAGGCGGTAGCAGTCATACATTGCAGAGGACATCAGAAAGGAAATGCAATAATTGCCAAAGGAAATTGCAAAGCAGATCAAGAAGCAAAGCTTGCAGCAAAAAGAGAAACTGTCAAAACGACTGCAATAACCACGGCACTGCTTCCTAGACTGCTGACAAACTGGAGCCTTTGCTATACGCCAAATGAGAAAACATGGTTTGAAACCAAAATGGGACACTACTTACAAGCTGGATGGTGGAAATTTCAAGATGGCCAAATAGCAATTCCATAATCATTGGCCCTAGCATTTGTCAGGCAATTTCACCAAGGGACACATAGCGGATGGACTGCTCTTGAAAACACCCTCACTAAGTACTTCTATGTCCCCCTACTCTCCAGTATAGCATGGGTAGTCTGTAAACAATGTATAATTTGTGCTCAAAATAACCCAGAGCAGGGACCCAAAGTCTCCCCCAGAGTGCAATATGTGTGTGGGGCACCCTTTGAGGATCTTACTGTGGAATTTACAGAACTCCCGCACTGCCAAGGCTACAGATATCTCCATATTTTTGTATGTACTTTCTCAGGATGGGTTGAGGCCTTCCCCACAAGGATAGAGAAAGCCACCAAAATGACCCAACTCCTGTTAAATCATTCCTCGGTTTGGACTCTCGATCACTATAGGATTGGACAATGGACCGACATTTGTAGCTGAGGTAGTACAGTTAATGACAAGAGGACAGCAAATCAAATGGAAGCTCCATACAGCCTATAGACCACAAAGTCTGGGAAAGGTGGAGTGAATGAACCAGACCTTAAAATCACAACTAAGTTATGCCAAGAAACTCATTTAGGCTGGGTCCAACTTCTGTCAATAGTCCTTCTAAGGTTAAGGTCTAGCCCCATAAAACAAACATGTTTCTCACCTTTTGAAATCCTTTACAGGCAGCCACCCCCTCTTGTTACAGGGAGACTTAAAGGAGTTAGGAAATCTTACTCTGAAACAACAAATACAAGTCTTAGTTTCAGCCTTAAATGTCATCCAGTACCAAGTCAGAGAATAGCTACCAATTAGTTTAACTACCGATGCCCATTCTTGTAAACCAGGTGATATGGTATGGGTAAAAGAATGGAATGTACAACCTCTAAAACCCCTCTGGAGGGGCCCATTAACTGTCCTTTTGTCTACCCTAACTTCAGTAAAAGTAGCTGAAATAGTTTCCTGGATCCATTACAACAGAGTTAAGCCTAAGCCTCCCAGTACTGGGAGTGCACCACAAATCCGTTGGCTCCCCTTAAGCTGACCCTCTGGAAAGTCACCAAGGCCAACAGAAAACCCGAAACGGATTCCCCAAGTCCTGCTCAACCACTCCAGGGCTGGCTAGGATTCACTGGCCTTGCTTCAGCCACACACCAGATGCTGGCTGATAGACACTCAACAGAATCAACACCTTATTAAGAAACCATTGTTTCGCTTTGTCAGCCTTTGTATTTGTTGTTTTATTTGCTATAGGACTGACAGAGTCAATCCCTACAAATTGGACATGTTGGGAAAAGTACATTATTGGATCTGTAATCCTATTGTTGGGATTCTGTCTTATTCTCCCTTGCATAGCCCTAGTAATTATGAACTCCATCTCTAAGTTTGTGGAAACAGTTGTTGAACGAAAAGCTGCAGCCCGCATAATGTTAATGCACCAAATTGAAGATGATGCTCTTTAACCCATGAAGAGTGGAGCATCAAAGGGGGAATGTGGCAGAGAGGGGCTAAAAACAGTTAACATTATTCCTTTTTAAAAATCAACCTACAAGCTCCAAACTGGCTAGACATGGGACAGGAGAAAACCAAATAGCCACAAGCTGCTTTCCTGGAAGTGCAAGGTAGTAATTGATTCATAACCTTACCCCCTTATCCTCTTTGTGAAGTTATCGGTTTATAACCCCTGCTTGTCATGTATATCCTAGAAACAATTTAGTCTTTGAAAATCTGGTTTTGCTAACTATAGCCTTGCAAATTCCAAAGAAAAATGTATAGCCATACAACCCGACCTCCTCCCTTACCTAACTAACATATAAAACCCTCTTTTTGGCCTGGCTTGGTGGCTCAGCCTGTAATCCTGCACCTTGGGAGGCTGAGGTAGTGGATTGTCTGAACCCACGGGTTCGTGACCTGCCTGGGCGACTTGGCGAGACCTCATCTCTACAATAAATCAAAAAATCAGCTGGGCGTGGTAGTGCGCGCCTGTAATTCCGGCTACTCGGAAGGCTGAGGCGGAAGGATCGCCGGAGCCCAGCAGGTTGAGGCTGCGGTGGCCAGGAGCGGCCACTGCACCCCAGTCTGGGCGACAGAGTGAGACTCCAACTCAAAAAAAATTTTAAAAATAAAATAAAATATCAAGTAGCCTGCCATCTCTCCATCCAGATAGCGCCTTCTTCACCTGAGTGGGGGCAACCCAGGAAATGTGAGCATTTCTTTTCATTTGCTTCCATTCTTCTTGCTCAGGGAGAAGAAACTGGCTCACAGGCTGTGAATTCTTATTGAGGGTGCTACCTCCTGCAGGGCCTGAATGGTGGGTGACCTGGGAGGAGCTTCTGGTTAGCTTTGTCCTCCCCTCCTGCTCCAGGCATGGCAGTGGCAATGGTCACACTGGGTGGGAACCAGTGCATGCCCACCAGGGAGGCACATCTGACCTAGTGGTCAGGGTCTACCACACCATGATTCTTAGGGCATCAGCAGATGCTAGGCTGAGCTCTGCTAAGGAATAGGTGTGTGCCCCCTGCTTTTGAGCCCAGAGGAATCACTACATCTGTGGTAAAGGCATGCTGGTGGCCCTACAGCTGCTCTATGCCAGATTCACCAGCCTAAAAGATGGCCTGATGGGCAATCACTCAGTTGTTAGACCTTTGTCCTCAGCAATTTAGTTCAGCCTTTGGTTCTTGAAAACAGCACTGACTAGCCTAAAGGTAGTGAGTTATCTCAATTAATTGTTCACAGTCAGTTACAGATTGAACTTCTTGTTCTACCCTTTTCCTCTCTTCTTACTACTGCATTTGACTAGTCTTTAAAAACAAAACAAAAAACCAGTCATGTGCCAGCCTCCTCACCCCCATCTTTCTCCCTCCCTTATTAACTCAGGAGGTGGGCATTTCCTTGAGACTCAGTTTCTGGGAGACAGCAAACCTTTCCCAACAGCCTATTAGGGTACCTTAGAGAACATTATGGTTATGAAATATTTGTCCAAATAATTTCTGATGATGTTCTTCTTTCCAGGGTGGGGCCAAAGCCAGACATGCTCAGCTTTTGCTACTATGCTGACTTCAGAAGGGCAATGGACTGACCCCTTCTTCATTCCCTGCCCTGTCTTGCCCTAGCAGGGTCACTGCCGTGGGAACTGGGGTCTCCAGGCCTGTAAGTGGGATGGATACACTTAAGAAGGTGGCAGAACAGAACCTATACTTACCTTTCCCTCTTCATTCCCCACTTAAGAAGGTGTAAGAACAGGACCTATACTTACCTTTCCCTCTGAATTCCTGCTCAGCTGAGGGCCCAGGTGACTGTGGGGGGAGGATGGCCTGTGTGGCAGGGAGGCCTCATGGGAAAATCCCATCAGGAGAGGGCCAGGGATCTCTGATTCAATCAGCAGGCCTCTGTAGAGGCCTTAGAGTTGGACAAGGGCAGGTGTGGGGAGATTGAGAAGAGGTAGATCTAGACACGGGGAAAGCATGGGGTCCATGCAGGCACAGAGAGCCCTGTGTGCCAAATATGCAAGAAAACCAAAGTGTGTAAGGGTGCCAAAGGGCCCAGGCCAAGGTCCAGCTTGACCCTGATTCTTCTGTGTAGGCTGAGCTGTCCTGGAATGAGCTTGTCTCAGGGGCTACACAAAGCCCACACTGGTAGCAGGAGTCCCTGTATTTTTTCAAGGGCCCATAGTAAAGAACACCAAAAGACACAGTAGAGGCCCACAACCTGCACCTTAACTTTGGGTACTGGGTATATTGAATATCGTATCAGTCCAAAAAAACACATTTAAGGTGTCAAGATAAGTCCAAAAAAAAAAAAAAGTCGGTAACATTTCAAAGCAACAGAATTAAAAAACTAGGCTCTCAGCTCAAAAGGGTACACAACTGGGAGTTTAAAAGGGTATGCTAATTCAGGTTCTGCCAACCCCTTAAGAAATGTGCCTCCTGATGACCACTGTGACTGTTCCTCGCAGGCTCCTTCAGGGCAACCTCCTGCTGTGAAGAACCAAAGCTAAAATCAACTGTCCTCATTCAATTTGGTATTTAAAAGGGGTCATCAAACTGTAGTCCTCTTCCAAGTTCAGAACAGTCTCAACGATATTATGATCATCAAAAGCCTGCTTGAGACTGCCAGGGTCTGCATCCAAGGCCTTCTGAGGGCTCTCATCCATGAGTAGGGCCCAGGCTTCCTCCTTGAAGAGTGAATCTTGGCAGCACACACGGTTCAATTCGTTTTCAAATTCCAGTTTTCCAGCCAATTCTTCAATAGTTCGGATGCTTGTATGGTCTTAAAAATAAGAACATTCAGCTTTACAATTCCAGTGAAAGGTTTCTGAAGACATTTCAGGCACAAGTTAAAATCCATGAATGGGCAGTCACTCTTCAGGGATTCTGCAGTCAAGCATTTCTGCCCCAGGGCAGGCAGGCTGCCAGAGTGAGTACCAAATTATGGTGGGCTTGGTGCCCTCCTTTCAGGTCTGAGAATTTACTGAGCTCCTATCTGCCAGTCCCCAAGGAAAGTTTAAGTGGGAGGATATGGAAATGCACATGCTTGTCCTGGCTCTCAGGGAACTCCCTAGCCTGCAGGGATGATAAGACACAGTGTGAAAAAAACGGGGTCTTTAGAGTAATCAAAATGCTGCCTAGCCAGGTGCAGTGGCATGGTCCCTGTAATCCCTTCTACTCAGGGATTACAAAAGACAAGAGGATTGTTTGAGTCCAGGAGGTCAAGACCAGCTTGGGCAACCAGTAAGACCCTGTCTCAAAAGAAAAAATGCTTCCTGATGCTGATGCTGCCAAGGAAGATGGGGGTGCAGAGGTGCTACTGGAAGAGACTCAGTCCATGGAAATTACAGGCTGGCAGGGTACCTGTACCTGTGGCCTAGGGTGAGTACCCCGCTCTCACCAAGCCTCCCTTTCCTCCTCCATAATCTAGAGACCCTTCAGAGCCAAAAGTTTCAGACAGCAACCAGGGTTGTGCAATCATTAACTAGAAGCTGTTTGTCCACTCTGTAGTTACTTAAAAACAGGGCACATCCCAGGCGTGATGTCTCATGCCTGTAATCCTAGCAATTTGGGAGGCCAAGGTGGGAGGATTGCTTGAGCCCAGGAGTTCAAGACCAACCTAAGCAAGATAGTGAGACCTCAGATCTATACAAAATCCAAAAATTAGCCAGGTGTGGTGGTGTGTGCCTGTAGTCCCAGTTACTTGGGAGGCTGAGGCGTAAGGATAGCTTGAGCCCAGGAGGTCGAGGCTACAGTGAGCTGTGATCATGCCATTGCACTCCAGCTGGGGCAACAGAGCAAGACTCCAACTCAAAAAATAATAAAAAAGCAAAGCACCTGTTCACACACAGAATATATATATTTGTAGAAAAAAATATCTGACAGGAAGTATACTCAATTATATTAACAGTGGCTAGCCAGGCACAGTGGCTTGTGCCTGTAATCCCAGTACTTTGGGAGGTGGAGGCAAGAGAATTGCTTGAGTCCAAGGGTTTGAGACCAGCCAGGGCAACTTGGTGAGACCTCGTCTCTACAATAAATCAAACAATTAGCTGGGCATGGTGGTGCATGCCTGTGTTTCCAGCTACTTGGAAGGCTGAGGCAGAAGGATCACCTGGGCCCAGCAGTGGCCATGACATCCCACTGCACTCCAGCCTGGGCAACATTGAGACTCTAACTAAAAAAAAAAAACAAAACAAGCAT